GTAGAATAAAATGTGTGTACTGGACAGGTACAGTCGTGGATGTTGTTTATAAGGCACAGGTACAGTCAGGGATGTAGAATAAAGTGTGTGTACTGGACAGGTACAGTCATGGATGTTGTTTATAAGGCACAGGTACAGTCATGGATGGAGAGTAAGATGTGTATAATGCACAGGTACAGTCGTGGATGTTGTTTATAAGGCACAGGTACAGTCATGGATGTGGAATAAAGTGTGTGTACTGGACAGGTACAGTCATGGATGTTGTTTATAATGCACAGGTACAGTCATGGATGTAGAATAAAGTGTGTGTACTGCACAGGTATAGTCATGGATGTTGTTTATAAGCACAGGTACAGTCATGGATGTAGAATAAAGTGTGTGTACTGGACAGGTACAGTCGTGGATGTTGTTTATAAGACACAGGTACAGTCATGGATGTAGAATAAAATGTGTGTACTTGACAGGTACAGTCGTGGATGTTGTTTATAAGGCACAGGTACAGTCATGGATGTAGAGTAAGATGTGTATACTGCACAAGTACAGTCTTGGATGTTGTTTATAAGGCACAGGTACAGTCATGGATGTAGAATAAAGTGTGTGTACTGGACAGGTACAGTCATGCATGTTGTTTATAATGCACAGGTACAGTCATGGATGTTGTTTATAAGCACTGGTACAGTCATGGATGTAGAATAAAGTGTGTGTACTGAACAGGTACAGTCGTGGATGTTGTCAATCAGGCACCGGTACAGTCATGATGTAAAATTTCTAGAGTTGTCTGGACAGTACAGCAGAATCTTAGAGAGGTGGATCTAATAAAAATATTTACTTATACAAATATTTTCTTCGGATGTTATCGATAATTATAGCATTAATTTCCTTTAATATGAGCAATTATTTTAATACCATACCCTACATATTCCAGGTATCACACCACGGTTATCGACCAGTCAAGATGTTAATTGTTCCATGCATATAAAAATAATTTTTATTTCTTTTGAGAATTTTTTTTTTTTTTTTTTTGGGGGGGGGGGGGTTCTTCCAGCCTATTTTTACAACTTTGATACCTGTGCCTAGCAAATTTTATGTACTTTGTAAATAAATATATATATATATTTTTTTTTTGTCAGGAACTATTCTTTTTCAGGGCATATAGGAGCTACTTCCTGGGGTGCACTTGAGATGTTTATATATAACACATTGAAAACGGGTGGATCAGCCCATTCCACCCGAATATATCGTAAGACATATATTTATGGGAAAAAACCTGTGCTTTTCATTGACACCTCTTGCGTGTTCAATGAAATGGGTGAAATTAATAATATTGTGACGTACTTATACTTTCTAACATAAAATTGAGGATTACAAATTAATTCCAATATTTATTTTAATTTCCTTTTTTATTTTACTTTGTTTATTGTTTACTCGTATATTTTCTATAATTATACTAGCATGTTTCATTTTAAATTCATCATTGTTATTGAGCACGTAGGGTATTGAAATTATGCCCCCCCCCCCCCCAAAAAAAAAAAAAATTAAAGACCTGGCTCATATTGTACTCTGAACATTAAATTTTAAATTAGTACAGTTACTGAGTTCCACAAATACTAAAGAACTATGTAACCTCGGTAAATTTCTGTATTTTTCTTATCAATTAAGAAATGATGTTTTAAATAGTGTACAATAGAAGTGATAATACATTAAATGCCATTGTTTATGTAATTGCCACATGTAATGTATATTGTATAGCATATACTACACTTATCCTGTGCAAAGCTTATGTATAAATATTTATGTACATATTTTGTATACCTATGAGATGTAATGTCTCTGGTTCAAATAAAACAAACAAACAATAAAGCTTTAAATTTAAATCTGTAAAAGTTTTGGATCCTTCCCTAATCACTGCTGACATCGTTTGTCTCGGTATCACTGTCATGGGTAATATAAAGATTAGCGTTAATTGCGCTTTGATTGAATTCAGTCTAAATCTAAATCGGAGAAAATCCACAGAATTTTTTGTTGTGGATGTTATTAATCAAGCGCGGGTTAAGTTAATCAAGCGCGGGTTGAGTCAGTGTAGTGTTTATGTACGGCACAGGTACAGTCGCAGAAGTTGTATATCAGGCACAGGTATACAGTCATAGATATACAAAATGTACGCTGTAGTAAATGTTACTTTTTAGAGATAATAGCGATCTATGCAATGGATTTAGGCATAGTCAAGCTTACACATATATTTTCCGCGATATATTCAATAAGCTAGTTATCGTTACCGTTTTGGCGATTACAGCCTTCCATAAAGTAGATTAATTATTAACACATTTCGTATGTTTCATTAAAAAAAACAATCCATACTTAATTAACAACATACAGTTTAATACGTTGAACAATCCGGAAAATCTTGCTCTGACATTCCGTTTTTGATATTAGTGAGCAGGTACAGTCATGGATGTCCGGTACCAGCATTGCCGAGTACGGTTGCGGATGATAGCTGACAGCCACTGTTGGACACGACTCTAGGACCATAACGAATTTAGGGCCTCCGACGATAGGTGTGGTACGTCTTTTTTAAACGTGGTTTTTCGTGACTGAAAATGTCAGAATCTTTTATTTTAACAACTTTTAAGTTTATTTAAAGTAGATTCAAAATTTTATTAATTTTATTTTACATTTAACAATCCGGAAGACAAGCCCCATGCTATAGACATTAAAAAGTAGGTCTTTCAATAATTGGAACTCTTCAACCCCAGGGAATAAGACAACTGAACTACGTTGCGTATGTCCTAAAAAAATTATATACAACATAGTAGGTTAGGTACATGTAATATTTAAAACACTTACTTCGTGAAAACTCGGGAAACAGCCAAACTGTTGTCCCTCGATAATGGGGAAGACCTGGGAAACTGTTGCCTGGCCCTCGGCCACGGGCAACAGTTTCCCAGGTCTTTCCCACTACCGACAGTTTGACTGTTCCCCACGTAAATGTATACTGTGACGTCAAGTGACTTCGTACTTTCTGGAACGAACGACAACCCTGCAACGGTGACTTTGGACCCCCCCCCCCCCTAGTTAGAATAATCTAACTGTGTCTCGGTACAAGCCCTCACCACAGTTAGAATACGTCCCATATACATGCAATGTAGCAAATCGGAGTGGATCCACTCCGAAATGATTTTGAAGTAAACAAAAGGAGTTGCACTGAAAATAACTACCAAATTAATCATAACAAACCTTTTTGAGATTGTATATGCCTTTTAACCAAAAAAATAATCCATATAAAGACGGAAATTCAACTCCTTTTCTCAACGTTTTTTTTTCTCGCTTCAAATTTACACACCATGTTGACATTCGGAACTCTCTGGATGGATCATAGTAAAAGCACTGAGTTCGAGTTATCGCCCGTGTTTATTTCGCTACATTGCAAATACACGGAACGAATTCTATCGTTAAAGTGACAGTACGGCGCATCTCATCAAAAAACTGAACTTGATAAAATTTTCCGACAAAATTTGGATTTTTTTTGCAACTCATAAATGTATAACTTTTCAGAAAATTACAACTTTCACAATGAAATAATTTTGATTATTTCCTTAAAATTAATAATTATTTATGGGACGTTAATATATACATCGCAACGTGTTCGGGGTTCCACATTCCATGCTATGCACGCATGCGTAGTTTTCATAAACAAAACAGCATGGTAAGAGAAGGAAGCCCTAAGAGCCTGCTACATTGATAAAGTCGACCAAAAAGAAAAAGAAACTGAAAATAAAGCTTGAAAAAGCAACTTTCCTGACTAAAATTTAGTTTGGGGATTAATATATTTGTTGGATGAGGAAGAAACGGGAACTCGGCGTCACTCACGCAGGGCTCGCGAAGGTTCTACTCAACAGGTTTGTTGATAGTTGTTATCATTTTTCATTATTCCATCGCTTTCAAAGAAAAAAAATTCGTGTAAACTCAACATAAAAATACACTTATGACTTATAAACATTGTTACCATTTGAAGTGCTAATTTTTTTAACTGTGCAGAAAAATATTTTGTTTGACATTTGCCGCGATAACGTTTGATTTGGTGGTTTTTCCTTTCCCGGACCCCAATACACAAACCGTCAACATTTGTACTTTTAATTCTGTTAAATTCGTCTGAAAGCAGACTAAAATCTTAACGATTATTATTTTGGATTATTTTTTTTATCAGAAAGTTATGATAATTTGCTTTTGAAAATTACTTTTACCTCATATTCATTATAATTTGTAAACGCTACAGTGTAGGCACGTGCCGTTTTAGAATTCACGTGGTACAAATAAATATATCTAAGATTGCTCCAGTTTGTACGACCCTTGGTTTTCCGGCAGATTCTAATTACGTTAATTTTGTATGAGGAGAGAATATTTCTGTTTCTCAAACTGCTTACATCAACTTTATACCTTATTTCTTAATGATATATTGGGTAAATTTGAATGAAAAAGCACACGTTTTGCAGCCGTACTGCCGCTTTAAACCGGGTCCGTAGGACAATATCATTTTAACGATAGAATATTCTATCTAACCCCCCCCCCCCCCAACCCTAGAAAACGTGGACAGCAACACCATCAGGAAATAGGTTTTTTCACGTTTGGGAAAGGGATTTTTGTTTTGCTTGTCATGACGTTTCGGAAAGGAGATTAGGTTTTTTTTTTTTTTTGCTTGTCAGGAAATTTTCTGGGTTGGAAATTTTTTTTTTGACGGGGGGGGGGGGGGGAATCCTGGATCCGCGCATGGTAAGTTGCATGTCTGTAGCGGAGCCTAAATAGGTCAAGTGCATTATTTTAACGAAAGGCATTATAGAGTAGATGGAGCTGTTTTTGTTTCAAAAACATGTATAGCTCTCGTAGGATAGAGAGAGGAATGACTTGAGAATCTATCCTTGTACGATTTGACAAATTAATTGAACTTCCGCTTTTACTTTCACTTTTCAATTTCAAGTGTAAACATGCAGTGACAACTGTCGATTGTGTCAATCATGTCAATCAACGTCTTTATCAAACATTGATGTAAAGTTTTTGGAGGTAAAATATTCTTACAACTAAGGGTAAACTGATATTATAAGCTTCCATTTTGGAACATTGGAATTTTAGCATAATCAGTATCAATTATTTCAAAGAAGCGCCAATATTAGACATGTACAAACCAAAGACTGTATCAGGTGTCATAGTTTAAACGTATAAATGATCGACTGAAGCACCATTTATAGTGAAATCATGTAAGTCTTCTCTTTTACATAAAATCTATTTATATCAGGGACCTATATATAGTATATAGGTCCCTGTTTATATATATGTTTCAATTTCAAAGTTGACAATTCAGTCGTGACTTGACAAAACGCACTGTACAGCTGTAATCATCTTGTTTTCTTTATAGTGCGGTAGTTTTAAACACCCAATTTTATTTTAACGCCCCCAAAATCTACCTAATTCAAGATCAATAATATACCGCCTGTCAATCATTAAAAAACAATAGCTTCTGATTTGATTGATGGGCCAGCTACGTGGGCTACCTGGTAATCTGAGTTTGCATGTTTTGAAAACAATTACCTGGTCACGCGTCAAATGCTTTCATGTGCTGCATGAATGGTCGCTTTGTATACACTATGGTTAAAAAAAAAATCATGTCGCTGTTATATTGGTTGATAATTTTATTTTTAAAAAATAATTGAGAGTAGATAATTAAACAGTGACTTCGTGATTTTTTTTTTTCAATCTCCACTGCTGTTTTGTACTTGTTAGCGGTATGACGTCCAAAATAACTGTAGAACTTTTCGAAGAAAAATTAGCGTATATTCCAGGGGTAGACAAATAGAATTTTGCAGTACTTGCCCTCGGACAGGTTACCATCGTAAAATTACATGTCCTACCAAAAAATATGCTTGCCCCACCTTTTTCTTAATTAACACAAAATTAGAGCATCATCGTTAGTATTAATTTATTTCTCAATTGATACACTACATGGGGACCAAACTAGACCCAAAATCACTTAATTCTTCCTCAGAAAAATTTAGGGGTAATTCTTGTTCCGTTGAGATTTCTTAGCTTGTGCAGTGTGCATATCTATATACCTGTACATAATTTAGACATTTTTCTCTGTGCTACTTTAACATAAAGAGAAAAAAAAAGAAGACTTCAAATCATTTGATGATTTCTAATACTGTAAGGCATATGGATATCGAGCATTAGGATTTTAGTGCATATTGTCAACATACAATTTCTCATCTGAAAAAAGTTATTTCATATCCTGCATAATATGCATACATGATCACAGTTCATTATTTTAGAAGTAAAATTTTACATTTAAGATTCGGATTTCTTTCCGTATTTTTTGGGGGTATTAGTAAAGTCAAAGTTTCAATCTATTTTCTTCAAAATTCTTTCATGAGGTATACCTTATTTTTTTAATTTAAGAATAATGTGTATTTATTTGATTGAAAACAAAAAAATAATATACGGTATTTGATTATGAAAACCACCACTGCATGCCGACCGTGACTTTATGTGATCGCCAGTCAACAGCTCCAATTAAAACGTTTGTATCCACGGCATGAATTTTACATTATGACAATACCTAAAAGGGTCTAAAATCCACTTCAACTTTTGTGACAAGAAATTGATAGCTGCTATGTTTTACGTCTTGACACATAAATGGGTAAATTCTAGAGGAGTTCCGACTGAGTATTCAATGTACTGTGGTCAACAGCAGCGAAAACAGGTGCTCTCCTGTGATTCATTACATTTCGACAGCGGTAAAACAAACATTTGATTTTTTGTTAACTGGAGAAGCACTTGCCCGCGGGCAGGTACCACTTATCAAACAAGCATTCTGAGAGTATTGCATTAGCAATACTAGTCCCCTACCGGCAAGTGTAATCTGGTTCCGTTCCCGTTAAAAATTGAAAATGCCATAATTCCGTCAAAAATTAATGAAGCGGGACGAAATGCAAACTTGATCTATAACTAATCAGGGTAAAGCCACATACCAAAAATCAGCTAAATATCTACAAGCGTTTAGAAGAAAATTGCGGAAAACCCGTAAAAATTGAAAAGGCCGTAATTCCGTCAAAAATCAATGAAGCGGAACGAAATGCAAACTTGATCTGTAACTCATCAAGATACACTCACATACCAAAAATCAGCTCAAAATCTGCAAGCGTTTAGGAAAAAAGTGCGGAAAACCAAGTGGGACAGACTGACAGACAGACAGAGGGACAGACAGACGGACAGACAGACAGACAGACGGACGGACAGACTCAGAGGAAACCTATAGTCCCCTCCGGTTTCACCGGTAGGGGACTAATAACTTGCCCGCCAAACAAAATTGGTTGTCCCGGGCGTCGGGCAATGCTATTTGTCTACCCCTGTATTCAAGCCCTCTCTTCCCTCAGTAACTGCAAGAGATCCGGAGAGAGAGAAGAAGTTTCTGTAGTAACACAGACCGATAATTCTTCCAAGCCAGGCCCCTTATTCAACCTGTGCCTTGATTTCAAGAATGTACGTAATGCACTTGTCGACCTTGCACTTGGGTACACAGAAACCCAATTATCCGTGATTAGAAACAATCTACCCCCTCCCCGACCATTGAAAATTATAACAAAATGCAATGGATTAAATAAGAAAAGATATTTATACTAATATAAATAAAGTATCTTGTATCTAACGCCATGAATTACGAAAGATTCTTTTTATATCCAAATCTGTAAACAGGGCATAAGAACACTGACCCTCGGAAATGGCGAATATTTGGACACCAACATTCGCCAGAAAAGTAAATAATATTCCGATGTGGTAAATGTTCACACAATAAGTGGAATCTATTTATTTCAATATTCACACTTAATATTTTATAATAATTTCTTTTATTGGTGATTAAAATATTGATATGATTGCTTTGTAGTTTTCACCTTCTTTTTTTTTTTAATTTTACGATTTTTAAAAAAGATATGTCTTTTTAATTTTTTTTTATTCAAAAGATAACAACGAAAACGCTAAGTCTACAAATTTTATATTTCAGTACCTAATTTATTTTAAATATTTTCACTCAAAATTATGCACAAAACGCGTAATGTTGACCCTGATTACCAAAAGCCGGACTTCCTGTGTAATGCAGTGTGTATAGGGATTTTTGACATCTTGAGTATTGGGGCTCTCCAGGTAAATAACACCAGTACTTCCTAGACCACTCCCCCTCCTCAGGTAACCGTACGGTAAAAAAATTGGGTCTTTAAGTATAGTTATAAACGTGGAAATTTTCCACAATGTCAATGATATTTACTACATTTTGTAAATGTAGCATACCATAAATTAATGTATCAGTCAAAGGTGTTATCTCATTGATGGTAAAAATGAATTCTGTGTCATCTGTGTAGATAATTCCTGTATTAATTTATAGGTCACAGGGTAACTTTTTAAGTCGATTAAGAGCTATCATGTGTGTAGATGGTTAAAGAAAAGGTATTATGGTTATAAGAAAGATACCCTCAAATTATCTCTAGAAAAAAATTGTATTTCAAGGATTGGCCTTTGTGTACAAAAAAAAAATTGAAAACTTAATCCACCTACCGACTCAATTTTTCATTAGCATGTAATCGTAAACAAAATTTTTTCTTAGGCCTAAATATTTACTTTATACCATTTTTTATGTTGTGTTTCAGCTTTTTAATGGTGATGGATTGTAGCTGAAGTTCATATTTGAGTCACTATGGTATCTAAAACATCTCTATATAGACAAGAGTATCGTCCTGCTTCTCTTGTTAAAAATATACCAACGTATTATGAGTCCCTAACTTATCGGCACCACCGACGTGAGCTTGAGTATGCTCACACTCCTATTTCTTGGGATGCAGATTTAGATGATAAATCTGAGTCACCACAGGAAGATGCCATACCTATTTCAGAACTGAAAATAGAGGAGGAAGAAGAGGAGAATAAGGTTGTAGACAAAAAGGAAGAGATTAAAAATAAGGAGACAAATGATGAAGAAAAAATATTGAGAGAAGAGGATGATAAAAAGGAGAAGATTAATGTGAATAATTGTGAAGAAGAAGAAAAGATAGCTGTGAGTAACGCTGAACAGAAAAGGCCTGTAAGTGCAGTCAAGAAATCGGATGTATTGGTTGAAAAGCAAACTTCGGAGACCAGAGAACTGACAAAACTGGCCAAGGAAAAATTAAAGAAATATAGCAGCATGGAGAATAAAAATACTAGCAAATTAAAGCCATCACAAAGTAAAAACAAAGTAACAGGTATGAAAAAGAAAAGGGTGTATACTGGATAAATATCTTCATGAATTTGTTGTAAAGTGTTAAAATTTAGTAATAATCCATATGCTTGTAATATCACCCCCCCATATCAGCATGCATAGATAAATATCAGCCCTTGGGCCTTCATCCCTCTGGTGAATATTGGTATCAGTATCTTGTCCTGATATAAGTTGTGATATAGAATAGAGTATTTTTAATATTTTTCTATATACTTAATAAAAACATAAAATTGCTCTAAATAATTCAAGAACAGTATTTGTAAACACTTCTTACAGCCAATAAAATAGAAAAAGGAAAATTAATATGATAGTTGAAACCACGTTATATTCATGTTTCATTTTGGTACTTAATTTTATTCTTTAGAGGATTTTCTAAGACCCAAGCATGCTGATGAGAAAATTTTTGAAAAAAGGCCAAAGCGACCTGACAGAAGTGGACAAATACCATCTCGTCCTAAAACAGCCTGCTCCTCATCCCTGCCGAGGGAATCTGTGCCTCGCCTCTCATTAGGCTCCCCCAGACCCCTCTCTGCTGCTTCCTGTGATAAACCTCCTTTTGTTCTTTATGGCAGTGGAGACACTGAACTAGAAACAGGACACAAAAGAACTTACAATGTCCACTGTTCTACTGATGTAAGTAAAAAAAATAATTTTTATAATGATCAAATTTATTAGTCTGATGTCCGACCTCAAGCTTTTGCCAATTCTGCCCCTCTCTTCTTGTGATTGAAAGAATGTCAATATCTTAAACTTCAATTTCAAAGAAGGTGAATAACATTTGAAAATCTTGGCCTAAACATATATTTCCAAAATTGATAAAACCCAGTCATTTTCTTCACCAAATTACAAGGATAAAAAATTTAAAAGGAATTTTTTTGTTGATTTTGGTGTTACATGTACTAAATTAACAGTGATTTTGGGCAGAATTTGTTAAAAAAAAATGTGTGGTATTGTTTGGTACATTTATAATTAATTAGAAATTATAGATTGATTTATTGTATTTAGCAATTTTATGTTTCAAGATCTACCCCACTGCAGTTAAAGCCAGACAGCAACATTACCTTAGAGCCAAAAAGTTGGAGGACCTAAGGAAAAAAATACTTCTTCAGAAAAAGAAACACAAGAACGCATTTGCAAACAAAATCTCCAAGGAAACCACAGGTTGGTGTAGTGAATATCAGAACCAGTACCCAACTTACGATAACGAAGAGTACGCCAGGCGACTAAGGGCGCTGGAATTCGCAAGGGCTCGGAAAGTCAAGTGTGATCTGTAGCAAAGGAAACAAAGGTCTCAAGTGTTATATTCATTGTTCTTTGCATGATATATATGCATTGTAGAAGTTATGTTTATGACAAATAGTTTATGTATACACTGAAGATGTATATTTGACCTCATACTTTTTTTTTTAGTTCCAGATAAATATCTTGTAATGTGAATATGTTATTTCTTCTTTCCACCCTATCATTTTGTATTTCATGCAATCAGACATTTATTGATTAAATATATCCTTTCTTTTCTGCTGCACAGAAGAGACAGAAAAAATGAATTTAGAAAAATACAGCGATGAAAATAAAACTTTTCATTACATTTTCAACAGTGAAATACTGTAATTTATGCATTGAATAAAATTGATATTTTCATAGGTACAAATAAATTTGTAAACTTGTAGAAATATCAGTGTCAACAATGGTTTCACAATGTACATTCGTGTATTTCTTGAACAGCCAGAGATACAAAAGTACACATTTTTGCTATTCTTAAATTATTATTCATATTTTGATATTGGCTGTCAAAAGTTGTTTTACCTGCAGTTTTCACTTTTAGTATTACATGTGTTAAAGTATTAGATTGTTGTTATATTTTTAAATCATTGTACATGTACTTCTAGTAAAGGACCAAGTTATTATGATATTCATATTTACACATGAAAGAATTATTAATAGATGAAGAATAACCATTTACTTAAATAATTTTACATTATGATCACTTATATTTACAAGGTCTTATTTTTGCATGAAAACAGAAGTGATCTTAATTGAAAGAAAAAATTTCCACTAATTGTTGATCGAGAAATATCTGCAGTTGATTTTTACATGTACAAATATTATTGTCTGGCTAAAACACACATCTGGTTAACATATGGTAAGTTTGTAGAATAATCTGTTAAAATTACTAATCCTAAATATATAAAGGACTTTTTTATGGCATCTTGAGAGAAGCACTGATCGCAAAATAAATTATAAATTTTGTTGAAATACTAGTACCTGTTAAATAACCCTCTCTACACTGCACACTAAAGGGGTCTAATTTTGTGGTATTTTTATGCAGTTAGAGTAATCTGCCCATAGATCTACTCAGTTTATAATCAATTCAAGCATTCTAAACATTTAAAAGGTCATGATAAAATACACTTTATTTGCATGTATTTTCCTCACAAAAATAAACAGCATTGATTTCTGTTCGTTATTTGTCATTTTCACTGAGGGTAAATGCCAAGTACCCTGTGTTGAAATTGGAATAGATAAGTTCAATATTTACACCGTTATACAATATAATGCCAGAATAACATAATTTTGCTTAAGTGTAAGGAGGGTCCTTAAACTCTTGATGAACAGTCTTTGACGACTATGGGTCACTTCTGGATATTGAGTACTGGTGCAAAATAAAGGAATCTACGTACATGCACATACATGTAGTACAATTGTATATCTATCTATATATATATATATATATATATATATATATATATATATATATATATATATATATATATATATATATATGAATCTTTGAAAAAAAATAAATAAGAGGCTAAAATAACTTCAAACCAACCAATAAAGATACAGATCATTTCAGACCTGATATTTTCTCTTTTTTCAGAATTTAAGTTACATGTATGTTACATAACCAGAGTTATTTTTTGTTAGTCATTGTTTATTATTGAATTGTTGTGTGATTTTTCTTTTTTAGAAATAAAAATTGCTAGACTGTCTTTAAGCACATGTTTTGTGTTATAACACTGTCCATTGTTCAGAGAACTAGGTTCAACTAGCTGTTTTGAACATATTACTATTTCACTATAGATAAAAATGATGGTTACAAGTTCTTTTAACTCAGTGAATCCTTCCTTATAATATATACATACAATGATTAGAAATATTAATTCCTGATTTTTTTATTTGATTTAAAGTTATGCTATCTATATAAATAAGATAAATTTAAAGACCCTTTTGACTTCTTTGTAAACTAATCTTTTAATATGACATATTTGTGACCTAATATATACCATCAATTCAAAAAATTACCTAAATGAACGTGTTTTTTTTTTTTTTTTTTTTTTTTTTAAAACCCATTTAATATACATGTAAAAATTAAATTAGTTCCGCCATTGTTGTTTGTGCAAATACCCTAATTCTCAACCTAAAATGTGCACATTATACACTTCCAGAAGTATCAAAAACTTGATACTTCAGTTTGTGTATCGATGTATCATATCCCCACCTTCTGCATCACAATACATCTATGTATTGTTACAAGCCTAGTACACCATGTAGAAGGGTAGCAGATATGAGATCTGCTGAAATATAACATTGAAAGAGTAATTAACCCTAATCCTTTATAGTTGTCTCTTCAGACCAATAAACTCACTTGTTTTGAATTTTCTGACATCCGACAAAAAATTTAAAACAAGCTTGTTTATTGGTCTATAGAGACGACTGTAAAAGATTAGAAGGTGGATAAAATATACAGGTTGGTGAAAGAATATGTCTAGAATTAGGGAGTAAAGGTAGTTGATTGACCAATGCTGGAAAGTGAAGAAATTCTCACCAACTGTGCACAGAAAATCTTGCGCCGTAAATTGCACAATATTGCATTACGGGATCTGTAGCTTTATGGTCAAAGACTAAAATGTAAAATCATAACGTACAGTTCTGCAGCTACAGTTCACCTGACCAAGGGCCCATGGAATTCATAAATTTGGAATGGGCATCCTATACAGTATAACAAATCATAACTATGCAGTTATTTTGTTTGCTTTATTCCCAGGAGCAGAGATAAATATTTTCAAATAATGCATTTTCGTTAATCAATAGAGCCCCCCTCCCACCATAAGATCCCCTGAATCTGGGGCCATGAAATTCACTAATGTGGAAGAGGCACCCTTGCTCATCATAGCTATTTACTTAGTTTGTTTGTCTATATCTAAGAGGAAGGAAGATTTCATAAGAAATGATGCATTTTCATAATAAAATCAATAGAGCCCCTTTCTAATACCAGAAATCCTGACCCAGGGGCCATGAAATTCCAGTTTGGAAGAGGCTCTCTAGCACATCACAACTATGCACTTTTTAACTCACCTGAGCCGAAGGCTCAAGTGAGTTTTTCTGATCGAAATTTGTCCGTTATTTGTCGTTGTTGTTGTCGTCGTCATTGTAAACTTTTCACAAATTCATCTTCTTCTCCAGAACCACTGGGCCAATTTCAACCAATCTTGGCACAAAGTATCCTTGGGTGAAGGGGATTCAAGTTTGTTCAAATGAAGGACCATGCCCTCTTTCAAGGGGAGATAATTACAAATAAGTGAAAAATTAATGGCATCTTTTAAAAATCTTCTTCTCATGAACCACTAGGCCAGGAAAGATGAAACTTATGTGGAATCATCCTCAGGTAGTGTAGATTCAAATTTGTTCAAATCATGACTCCCAGGGGTAGGGTGGGACCACAATGGACGAGCAGTTTTACATAGGAATATATAGGGAAAATCTTTAAAAGTCTTCTCAAGAACAGCAAAGCCATGACTGGTTATATTTAAATTGTCATCAGGTAGTATAGATTAAGATTTGTTCAAATCAGGACCCCCGGGAGTAGGGTGGGGCCACAACGGTCAAGCAAAGATATACATTGGAATGCATAGGAATTTTAAAAAAAAAAAAAAAAAAATCTTCTTCTCTTGAAAATCAAAGACATGATCAGTCATATTTATATGGAAGCATCCTCAGGTAGTGTAGATTCAGATTTGTACAAATCATGAACCTCGGGGGTAGGGTGGGGCCACAATGGACGAAATTTTTTTTAAATAGAAATATATAGGAAAAATCTTCTTCTCAAGAACAGCAAAGCCATGAATGGTAATATTTATATGGAAGCATCTTCAGGTAGTGTAGATTCAGATTTCTTCAAATCATGACCCCCGGGGGTAGGGTGGGGACACAATGGACGAGCAAAGTTATACATAGGAATATATAGGAAAAATCTTTAAAAATCTTATTCTCAAGAACAAAAAAGCTATGATTGGTCATATTTATATGGTAGCATCCTCAGGTAGTGTTGATTCCAGTTTGTTCAAATCATGACACCCCCCCCCCCCCCCCCCACTATATAGGAAAAATCTTTAAGAATCTTGTTTTCAAGAACAACAAACCTATGATTGGTCATAGTTACAAATGTATATGGAAACATCCTCAGGAAGTGTAAATTCAAGTTTGTTCAAATCATTACCCCTGGGGGGTAGGGTGGGGTCACAATGGACGAGCCAAGTTTTACATATGAGTATATAGGAAAAATCTTCTCATGAACAGCAAAGCCATAATTGGTCATTGTCTATTTGGAGGCATCCTCAGGTATTGTAGATTCCAGTTTGTTCAAACCATGACCCCCAGGGGGTAGGGTGGGGCCACAATGGACAAGCAAGGTTATACATAGGAATACAAAGGATTTTTTTTAAATTTTCTTCTCAAAAACAGCAAAGCCATGACTTAAGTTATATGGAAGCATCCTCAGGTAGTGTAGATTCAGATTTGTTCAAATCATGACCCCAGGGGATAGGGTAGGACCATAATGAAAGTTTAAACTTACAGGAAAAAGCCACAGTTCGTCAAAGAAATTTGTAAGTATCCTTAGTGTAGATTCAAGTTTGTTCAAATCATCCCCCCTTTTTTTAGGGGTAGGCCAGGGCCACTACTTTTTAATACTGAACTAATTTCTGCTTTTTTTCCCAAGCCACAGTGCTCAGGTGAGTGATGTGGCCCATGGGCCTCTTGTTTTGCTTAATACCCAGTAGCACAGAAAAGCATTTTCAAAGAAATAGTGCATTTTCACCATTTAATCAATAGAGCCTCCTATCAGAACCCCTGACCCTGGGGCCACAAATTTCACAATTTTGGAAGGCACCCTTGCTTATCATAACCATGCACCTCCTAGTTTATTTGCTAAATGAATATTTTTACAGAATTTATGCATTTTCACTATATGATCATTAGAGCCCCACCTTAACTCCAGAGCCCCTAACCCTGGAGCCATGAATTTCATAATTTTGGTAGAGGGCTCAATGCATATTACAATCATGACAACAGTTTAACTGCTTGATGTTCCGGTATAAAGAAGATTTTTAAAGATCGCATTCAATTTTATGGTTTTAGTCCCACCCTTCAGACCACAGATGAAATTCACAATTTTTGTTCCCCTTCACTTACAGATGCTATATGCAAAAAAAGTTTAAATTAATCAGCAGTTCCAGAGAAGAAGCTGAAAACGGACAGTAAAGGACAAAAAACAGATAACAAAAGGTCACCTGAGTCACTCAGGTGACCTAAAAAAGCTAATTCCTCTTATGCATGGATATTTAGATTTGAATCTTAAACAGTAACCTTTATTATTGTAGTTTTCTGAATTTATACACTGCATTGCAATACATGCCTGTAAATTCTTCGCTGGCCCTCTAAAGAACAAACACAATAATGAGTTGTATGGTTTAATGACTGCGGTAACAACTGACTTAATTCAATAAACAACTAACAAGGATATTATATAGTGGCCCATTTATGCATTGATTAAGATTATAACAAACCTGTATGTGTATATTGTAAAGGTTACAAGGTGCATATTACTTGAAAGCACTATACAAATACAAAAAAGCATTCTGAAGATCAAACATTTTCAATGTTCTCGATCCAGTTCATCTTCCATTAAACAACTTCTTCATCACAAGAAAGTTGTATATGTATTTTAAAATATAGACTGCTTGATAAGTTTTGCTATCCACACCACACCAATATTCTCTACATGAGAGAACTAATATTAACAAATTCTGTTGTATACTAATTCTGTTGTATACTAAAGTGTACTATAAAGAGGTTTGATAAAAATTATGACGGCAAATTAGCAGCATTTTGTCAATTCCAATAAAGATCACTTTGTATGTAAACAGTTGACATTTGACCAATATTGCTTGGGATATTGTATCAATAAATAATCCATATTGAAATATTTTTGAAAGGTAAAAATGCAACTGTACACATAGATAAATTAAGCCTCAGTTTAATTCATCAAATTGTGGGTAAGCTGGTCCCAATCCAGGCAAATCTAACTATTCTTACTAATAATGGATTTGTTGAGTTAATTTTTGAAAGGTTTTCTATGACTGTATAAGGGAATGTATATATAATAAACACTTTTACAAAAGACACCACTGTTTAAGTTTAAATATTGATGGAATAAATGTTTCTGAAACAAGTCTTGCTTAACAAAGCATTTTCCGCGTAAATGCATGTACACACACATGAAAACATATCAAACTAAGCTGTAATAGTAATATGTTTATGGAAAATAAATAAAATAAACCAATAAAACATCACAGGAATAAACTTTTTAAAAAATCTACAAAGAAAAATAAATGAATCAATACATACACAATATAACACAATGTTCATACAATCTCAAAAGCAACTGATACTTTGCAGTAGTATTAATGAAACAATAAAAAGAATGTTATTTAATACATGATGCCTTAAGGAAGATGGTCATGGGTAATTCTTGAAGCAGAAGAGATAGTACATCAACATCTGAATCGAGAGGCCTGTGGGCCACAACAGTCACCTGAGTGGTTTTCCTCTGACAGTGAATACATGTATGTAATAAAACCCCTTTTTAATGGGTCTACACGGAGTAATAGTTAATAATTGCATGCATGTATTAATTTATAGAATTATAGTCTGGTTGTTCCTCAATAATTCTATACATGTTTATCTCTAAAACTTTTGAATCCTTCTAGATGTGTATTAATCATTAATTGAAATGTTAACCAGTTATGGTATTACAATGATCATACATTTACATGTAAAAAATCAATAATCATTATTTACCTAATTTAATCAATCACAGAATCATATGATAATTTCTTATTTCCTTTTGAATTCTTTTATTAGATTATTTTCTGATAACTTCTTTATATACATGATCCAAAAAGAACATTCCATTTTTGGTAACGGTCAACACTAAATTAAGATGAACTAATAAATCACTTGTATTTGATGGCTTGATGAAATTACTTGTAAGCCCATTTAATAAAAGTTACATGTAAGTAAAGCCAGACATAATTTTCAACAAAATTCATAAAACGCCTTCCTACTGTATTTTTTCAATGTCTCAAGTTCATATTACATTAAATTGTCAATGATTGTATAACCTTTTTAATGCCTTTCTGATTGTGTTACAAACATACACGTATGTGTATTAAATGTCTGACACATTATCAACTATCAACATGTACTTAAAATAAATCCAGTCAGGAATTGTATAAACCAAATCTTTTTGATTAATTAAAATCCTTGATGAAAAAAGTTTAACCCAAGAGATTCCCATTAAACAATGAAATTAACTTTCACAATCAAAAATGCAGCTCTTAATTTAATTCATCATTAAAAATCTTAGTTAAATTACATACCACTTTTGCGATACAAATTAACTGTATTTATTTTCTTCATTACAATCAAACCAATAAGTATACATGTACTTTGGAAGTTCTATGTTTCTAACTTTTAGAGGAAAAAAAAAGGATTTCTGAGTGTTAGACTTTTTTCATCAAGGATTAATCAAAACGATTTGGTTAATTCCTTGAAAATATGAACAAAATTTGAGATGAGATTCTATAGAAATTGGAAATGTTCATGCAAGAAGTTCACCATATACAACGCATATACATTGTAAATTGACAATTACACAGACGACTGACAAACCTTGATCAGAAAAATTTACATGTCAGAGCCTCTGTCTTAGCTGAGCTTTTAAGGTCAAACAAAATGCATAAACCAATAAGATATTGAAGAACTAATTATGGACAGATTAATTAAGCATGGTTATATGTAACATGAAAAACAACATTTCTTAGATCTAAGCATGATGCACTAAGATTAATTCAAGTCTACCATATCATTTTACTTCTTTTACAAGATTAACGTGACATTACATCACACACAGTAATAAATACACTACTCTGTTTATATTGAAGCAGAGTTTATGCTACAACTACAGAAATTCTACACACTGTAAATTGGAAGTACATGTAGCTCACTTCAGATTACAAGTGTATCAAATTTGTTACATTCTATAACATTGCCTGATATTTGTTTTTGTTTTGGGGTTTTTTTTTTATCAGAAGCTTGATTACCTTATACAAATTACTGACAAAAAGTATGCATAAAACACTTGTGCGTTCATGAATTTCTGACATCATGTTGCAAATCTAAAGCAATCAAATTTCTTTTTTGCATACATCACATCCTTTTAATAACACAACTCATGAAAATGCCATGCCAAACCAGTACAAGCATGTACATTTGAACAAGTATAGGCTTTCATCAGCGAATTGCAACTAAGGCAATGATATGACATTTGGATGGATACAGAGCTATGAAGTCAGATCTCGTTAGAATAAGAAAGTCTACTTTCAGCATGCACAATCTGGTCGCTTCCCAGTGGGTCCAAATGTGTCCTTTGGTATTCTTCTGAGAGAGGTATCTCCATACTGAATTCCGGACCCCATGCGCTCTGGATCTAGTTCTCCTGAAAACCAAAACAAAACATAAAAGAAACTAGCCTTTTACATTTGAATACTCTCTTTATATGAAAATGTTTCAAAATTTTATCCATATCATTTCGGTCTTTCAAAAATGCAACTGCCAAAAACAAAGAAATTGCAAAATCAGACATGTTTAATGGATCATTTGCTGCTAATGAGTGATAACAGTATGTATAACAAACCAGCCACAAGTCAGAGATATTACATGTATATACGACATCATCATATCAGTGTTACCTGATTCTATTTTTGTCAAAATAGACCTGGCACATTTGAGGAAGGTTTCTTCAACATTTTCTCCAGTCAGTGCACTTGTTTCCAAGAACATGAGTTCTGAAATTTAGTTAATATAATTGTTAAAATAAACTTAAGAAATGATACAATCAACTTCAGTAAGTCAAACATGGCAGAACTGTCGACAAATTTTAAGATTAAATGTTTTATGTCTCTGAGGGTTTGAAAATAAAGCAGTTGAAGCTTGAATTAATGGGCAAAAAGTAAGACAGTAAGGAAAACAGGTCATCATAAGCTGCACTTCATACCCATAAAGTCAAAATACGTGTACATCTACTGACAAGGTTTGACATCAATGAACAAGTGTAGGGCTCAACATTAAGTTCAAAACAAACTAGACCAGTTAGACTACTACCAGTGCCTGAAAATTTTACAAGACCTGACCTTATCTTCACTAGACCTGACCTAATATTCAGAGATCATTGTATGATAAACAGCAATGGTTTTCTTAAGAAAGGCTGATTAGCATGTTAAAAATCCTTAAATAATAGCTTTGCTTTATTTGAACTTTGGGATATATTAACAGGACCAGTCGGACTACCTTGGCACAAAATACACCACACTGGACCAAACTTTTACTAGTCTGAGTCAGTTTGATGTGCATTTAATTTTGAGCACTGAAGTATAGCCATAATATACCAAAATAAGGTCATAGCTGCCTACTTTTGGGATGCAGCACACCTTCCCCTTCTACCAAAAAGATGCATTAAAAGGTTGGATGATTCTAGGTATCAAATTGACAAGATATTTGTATGTTTTGGATGTGACTTAATCATGTATAAAAATAATTTTTTCATAACTGAGGTCCCAAATACTTTATTTTAGGTCATGGCCACACTTTCCCCCCTCCCACAATAAAAAGATTCATTAACAGACAAAATTTGATGTCCAAGTCTCATACTGTGTAAAAAGTGATCTAGACACAATTTAAATATGCAAAGCAATAAATTTCCAAAATGGGGCCACAGTCATCTTCTTTTAGGCATCAACATATCTTCCACCCAAGATGCATCAAATGTAAGATTTGATATGCCCTGCATGTATACAACCTAGCTATGTATAACCATAATCAAATGTAAGATTTGATATGCCCTGCATGTATACAACCTAGCTATGTATAACCATAAAATTTCATAATAAGGTCAAAGTGACCTATTTTTAGTCTTGAAATGATACATCCAAAATGCAAGATCCAACAAGTTTTGAATATGCTTGGTCTCACAGTTGAATAATATGATTTGGACAGGAAAAAAGTAACAGACAGTTGGAAGGATTGTAAAATCCATTCCATAAGAAGGCCCTCGGAAGACGGGTGTATAATAACAAGACCACCAACTCCATCAACTATATATGTGATTGAGACAATAAAGTTGCCCATCAACTTGTTTCATTCAACATATTTCAGGTGTTTGACAGATACAGTGTAAAAGTTAATTAAAGATACTGAAGTCCAACTCTTACAGATTGAAAAAAAAATAGGGTTAAATAATACATTTTTTTTTTTTACATAATTGCAATTATTAGTTATTTCAACATTATAAGTATTTGATCAATTCTGAATTTTAACAGTACGCAGCACAGTTAAGGCTGCAATAAGGAGGCGGGGCCTAATTTTTACGGGGAATGCTTACTATGACATCACACAAAAATATATGTTCTTCAAATTACCAAAAAATGAAATTATTTGCTATCTTAAACTGTTGGATAGCTTTAAACTACATTAATACTTACTATTGCATGTATTTTTGTCGTTGGTTAAATCCCACACAACAATATATAAACAAATTCACTGATCCCAATGCACTTGTCAATGTGACGTCATATCGCAAAATTTGACGCAGTTTGTATGCAGTGAGAGGCAGATCAAGTTATATTTTATACAATGAGAAATGTATTTTGTAATTAAATAAAATAAATTTTCAGATATATAAGAGGCCATTAACTTGGATGCGATGTCTATTTTTTGATTTTATTCATATACTTCCCGTACATTTCCTAGACAATCGATACTGCAGTATATTTGTATGCAGATCCATTGAAGGGTAATAGAAGGGTCGTAATAAATCGATATATTGCAAGGGCATACCCTCAATGAATTATGACAAGCTTTTACACATAAACTCAAGAGGTATGAAGATATTTGAAAAGTGCTGCAAACCTGATGAAATCTTGCAAATGAATTAATTATATCTATATTTAATGTACGTGACCAGCAAAATATTCAACATACGGTCTAACAACCGTAATTTTAGCCATTATATAGTAGAATCTATATAGGTTCGCAGCACTTTTCACAAAATACAAAAAGTGTTAAAAATAATTATGAATTAAACTTAGATTTTTAACGTGGTTATGCCCTTGCAATATTGGATTTTATAGATGACCTCAATACTGCAGGTATATTTGCTAAAATCACGTGACTGCCACATTACGTCACAAGTCTAGATAAGAAATCTAATCTTCCCCAACATGTAGTTTTCAACCACATTACATTTGTCCGCTAATAGTAAAGTCCTAAAAAGAATCACCCATCCTTGTAAAGAATATATTTTCTATATATATTTGCTAAAATCACGTGACTGCCACATTACGTCACAAGTCTAGACAAGAAATCTAATCTTCCCCAACATGTAGTTTTCAACCACATTACATCTGTCCGATAATAGTAAAGTCCTAAAGAGAATCACCCATCCTTGTAAAGAATGTATTTTCTATATAAAAAATTCGCCGATATTTCCATTTGTCACCTTAACTGTGCTGCGTACAAAAAGTTTATTTTCCCCAGCCTTGAAACAAACCATTTTCCTGTGCAAATCTGCTGGCCTCTAGAAAGGTGACCTCTCGCTCTTGTTCTAAGTCCTTCTTGTTTCCCACTAACACAATGACAATGTTTGGACTGGCCAGGGTCCTAGCATCAGTAAGCCAGTTTGTCAAGGCATTGTAAGTCTCTCGACTGAAAAAAGACACAAATGCCTGAAAACAAGTCATCATTAGGCCAGCATTTTCTTTAGAACCTTACTGAAAGAGTTAAGTACATGTATTCACACTGTTAAATACAGGGCTGTCATGCCAATGTTTACAGGGGCCTCTGGAAAATCAAGGTTCATCGATACTGTGATAAGAGAGATAACTCTTCATGACATAAATTTCTATTATTCCTTTATAAATTTGTCAAGTTGAAGAGTCTTTTTTGTCCAATTTTGCCCCGCAAGCTATCCTATAATTGTTTGTATTTACATTAATTTCTTTTGGAAAATCATAAGAATTAAAGAAACATTTTAAATGAGTGAACAGAGGGTTTATGAAACTTAAATGTAATCAATCATAATTTAAAGAATTTTTGAGAGAGTGTATATTTGTTTCCTTTCTTTGCATCATCAAATAAATTTTATGTTGAATTCTATAAAAATCCAATGAAAATTTGAATTAAAGAAAACAAAAAGACTTGAGCAGAATCAGAAACAAAAACAGCTTATCAGCCATTACCTTGTGATGTCATAAACTAGTAGGGCACCTGCAGCTCCTCTGTAGTAACTTCTGGTCACAGAGCTAAAGCAAAAATGTATATATAAAGTATCACCCCTTGTAAACATTTACATATTCATTGAGGATACGTCAATTAATACACTAATTATCAACAAATTATGACTTCACGTATAATTTTATACTCAATTCAACCAGAAGACTCTGACGAGACTGTAGCTCTACTGGTCTGTACGTATAACAAAGTAGCACTTGGATTTGCAGCATGCATTAATAAATAGAATTATGTATCTTAATGTAGTCTATTTCTGTGCCAAGTTATATTGAAATCAAATGAAAACTGTAGGAGGAGTAGCATTTTGAAAGTATTTCACAGAAATTTCTATTTTTAGTAACCACATCAAAAACCGAAATACATATTATGTATCGTAGTGTATTCTAATTGTGTGCCAAATTAGATTGAAATCAGACCAAAACTGTAGGAGGAGTAGTGTTTTAAAGGGGTTTCACAGAAATTTCTTTTTGTAGTAACCATGGCAACACTGTTCTTCAAAATCAAAAACCGATGCATTAAATTATGCATCTCAGTATAGTCTTCTTGTATGCCAAATTATATTAAAAGCAGACAAAAACTGTAGTAGGAGTAGTGTTTTACAGTAATTTCACAGAAATTTCTATTTTTAGTAACCATGGCAACACCGTTCATTGAAATCAAAAACGGATGCACTAAATTATGTATCTTCATGTGTGTAGTCTACTTGTATGCCAAGTTATACTAAAATCAGATCAAACCAGTAGAAGGAGAAGTGTTTTTAAGGAATTTCACAGAAATTTCTATTTTTAGTAACCATGGCAACACCGTTCATCAAAATCAAATAATCAATGCACTAAATTAGGTATGATAATGTAGTCTACTTGTGTGCCAAGTTACTTTGAAATCAGACCAAAACTGTAGGAGGAGTAGCGTTTTAAAGGAATTTCACAGAAATTTCTATTTTTAGTAACCATGGCAACACCGTTCAAGGAAATCAAAAACCGATGCATTAGATTATGTACCTTAGTGTAGTCTACTTGTGTGCTAAAATATATTGTAATCAGACCAAAACTGTAGGAGAAGTAGTGTTTTAAAGGAATTTCACAGAAATTTCTATTTCTAGTAACCATGGCAACACCATTCAAGGAAATCAAAAACCATTACACTAAATTTTGTATCTTAGTGTAGTCTACTTGTGTGCTAAGTTATATTGAAATCAGACCAAAACTGTAGGAGGAGTAGCATTTTAAAGGAATGTCATAGAAATTTCTATTTTTAGTAACCATGGCAACACCGTTCATCAAAATCAAATAATCAATGCACTAAATTAGGTATGATAATGTAGTCTACTTGTGTGCCAAGTTACTTTGAAATCAGACCAAAACTGTAGGAGGAAGAGCGTTTTAAAGGAATTTCACAGAAATTTCTATTTTTAGTAACCATGGCAACACCGTTCAAGGAAATCAAAAACCCATGCATTAGATTATGTATCTTAGTGTAGTCTACTTGTGTGCCAAGTTATATTGAAATCAGACCAAAACTGTAGGAGGAGTAGCATTTTAAATGAATGTCATAGAAATTTCTATTTTTAGTAACCATGGCAACACTGTTTATCAAAATCAAAAACCGATGCACTAGATTATGTATCTTAGTGTAGTCTACTTGTGTGCCTAGTTATATTGAAATCAGATCAAAACTGTAGGAGGAGTAGCATTTTGAAAAATTGTTTACAGACAGACGGACAGACAGACAGACGGACGGACAGAAAGACGGACGACGGACACCTTACTATCACATAAGCTCTTCTGGTCTCTGACCAGTAGAGCTAAAAACAAAACAAAAAACTCATCCTCTAAATCAATGAAAAAAAAAATGAAAATAAAGTACAAATGAGTTTATGTGTCATTTTAATCCCCCCTCCCCTCTCAAAGAAAAAAATTCAGAATTACATGTATAATCAGAAGAATATGATATGGCATATTTAATAAGTTATAAATAGGAAAAGTGACTTTATGTTTGTTTGACTTTGTTATTGATATATATTGTAGAACACATTCTGAGCAATTTAATGAAAGAAGGTAAGAATTGAAAACCAAAAAAAATTTGAATATTATGAAATGCTTTATAATCAATTATTTTTTAATCCACTAAATTTCAGAAAGATTTTCACAAATTTTCTTATATCAGTAATAAAAAAACCTGCATGCTACATGTTTGAAAATAAAAATATATTATACTGGACCACAGGAGGACACATTATATATAAAAGTATACAATATGCTACAGTGGTCAATAGAAAAACTGACAGGTAAACAACACAATATCACAGAGCAATTGCTTAATAATTCTGACTTAACAATTTTGCTTTGTGTGTTACGCACCTAATAAAACATTATTTTTGGTTGGATTTTTTTTCTTAGTCCTCCAGAGTCAAGGGGTTAACTAAATAGAACAATATAATTGTATATTCAACTTACTCTGACCTGAAAGGAACAACAACAGAATTGAAAGTGCATAGCGACTTCAGTTAATTAAAAAAGATTCATTTTAATTTCTAAATTATTCAAAAGCCTGAAATGTAATTTAAAGGTGCTTGGACACAGATTTGAAGTTAAAATTTTCACAAATTTTCTGTATAATTTCATGACTTATATGTTGTTATAGCATTTCATACTAAAATATAATAAAAATCTTATTTCATCTCGAAGTTATTAAACCTTCCAATTTCTGGACGAGTTGGATTGACACATCCTTGCGCTTTCACATATTTTAATTTTATTCTTAAGGACATATGCAACGTAGTTTGAACTTTATTGTCTTTTTCCCTGGAGTTGAAGAGTTCCAATAATTCAAGGAAGTGTGTGTAACATTTTAATGTCTATATATGGTGTTGTACACTTCTTCTAAAGCAAGTTTGGATAAACAAAACATCTAGAATATATGTTTAGTAATTTTTGTATATTTTCCTTTGAATTATACAAGAAATTTCATCAATTGATATCTTTTCAAAACCCCTGGTAAGGCATGCTGAGTTTTTGTCTACAAACATCTGATGGCACTATAAACTTAAATTAAGAATATCTTGAAAATGCATCAGTAGGTAAGGTACGTTGCGTATGTCCTTAATACTTAAGAAAAGTGGCAATTTTGTTGTGTATTAACGAAAAATATTAAAACTATAACCCAGAAAATTCAGAGCAGAAATGTTCGAAAGCAAAACCCACTCACAGTATTGTAAGTCCGTGCTCAGTGGTGTGTGCAGAGTTTAACAATTGAACACACCCGGTGAATCGTAAACATTAACAATTACAGAGCTCGTGCCCTGTTTACAAAAATAGTTTATGTTTCATGGGTGTGTTCAATTTGTTGAACTCTGTACACATCACAGAGCACGGACTGACAATACTGGTGAGTTGGTTTTGCTTTCAAACATTTCTACTCTGAGTTTTCTGGATTATAGATGTAATATTTTTCATTAATACATAACAAAATCGCTTCTTTTCTTAAATATAAAGATAAAGTCAAAATTTGTGTAAGTGCAAAGATGTGTTAATCAAACGCTTCCCGGAATTCGTAGTTCCAATAATTTCCAGATAACATAAGTTTTTAATTGCTATTGCAATATATAAGTCGTGATATTAAACAGAAAATTTGAGAAAATATTAGTTCAAATCTGTGTCTATGCACCTTTAATCTCATTATTCATTGTTAACAAATAAAAGCTAACCCCTTAACTAGGTGGTAAATTTACATGGCTTAAAACTAGTGTTTCCATTTTCCATATGATATCGTTATGCCATCATTTGTTTTTATGATCATGTATTAGAGCACTAAAGATATCATAATTATATCCTTAACCTGTAGTACAGGAAAAATTGACCCTTATGCTGTAATACAAGATTTAACATTTCTTATGACCCTGTATTGGCCTTTATCCTGCTTCAGACAAATTTGTAGAATATTGATTTGCTATATCAGATCACATGTGGCCCTAAAATCTTCTAATACACCGTGCCCTAGCAGGGGGACGAGGGGGTGTATTAAAAATCAGATGCGAAATTCTGTTCTACATGTATCTGATGTAAACAAATGGCAGGAAGCAAATGGTTTTTTGTTGAACTTTTTAACTGTGATGATGTAACACTGAGAATATATGATATTCTGAATTATATTTCATTCAAAATGTTACTGACCTCAACATAATCTTGTAAAGATCTTCATCAGGATAATAGATGATTTTCACATTTACAAAAGTTATTTCCCTTTGTGGGGTCAATCTGGGGTCAACCAGCATAACTCACTGTTTACCTTCTATAACTAACAAACTTTATTGGACAGTGGCTTACAAATTAAATCTGTATATATATGTTAGTTATGTTTTCTGTGTTGCCCAATCCTATGACAATACAGGAACAGTACAAAATTTTCACCCTACTCAGGTGGGCGAATTTAAAATGGGGCAAATTTCAAAGAACACAATTCACTTTCTTAAACAGAACTGTGACTGGGCAAATTTAAAATGGGGCAAAATTGTTTGCAAGTGTGAAAGGGTGAAAATTTCCCTTTATACAGTAACCAGAATGCTGTCACCCTTTGACATGTATTACTTGAAACTTATCCTTTCTACCTGATATTATGAACCCATTACCTGAACTATGTGAAGCAGAGACTATTGACTGTAATACCAGATTGTACATCTGTAACCTTTATTATAGGCTGCTCTGACTCTGTAATCTGTACTTATTGATGCTACATGTATGATCCTGTAATCTATGACCTAGTAATCTGTATTACAGAATGAGTTGACCCTGCAACCTATATTACCGGAATCGTTCCTGCCCTGCTGTATCCCAGATTTGAAGTTTTACAGATTTCCCTCCAACATTCACAACCTTGCTTCCAAACTCTACCCCAATTGTGTGGTTTGAATCCTTTTTGACTGGTAAACAAATTAAAAACATTTTACATTCTAAGAGTAAAGTACTCATGACTTCAAGCATCGATCTTCACCATTTTCAAGCTGTTCAAAGTTTACCGTAATGATTGAATAAATGTAGAACATTTCTCACAAGTAACAACTGATACACAAGTTGAGAATTCTGTACAATTACAATGTGATTATTTCATGGCTTAATAACAATTGACTAAAACTTTGCAAAAGGTGTGTTAAAAAATTTAATTTTGAGTTTGATTATATGTAAATCTTTTAAAACTCACTGAATGTTACAAATTATAATCATATTAATTTAATTCATATGTTTCAATAGAGTCAATTACATAAAATTTACCCCAGTACTTACATTTATTTTCTATGAACTGATGAAGTATGCAGGATTTTCCTGTTCCAGCACTGCCAATGACTAAAAACTTGAAAAGAAAATCTGTAAAGAAATTGGAAGAATGCTTTCAGTTGCCATTCTACACTTATGGACTATAGCTTCAGTTAGCCATTGTTTTAAATGTCTAAGATTTCTCCACCAGGCCCAGGTTCAAGAAAATATACAGTATACAGAAAAACAAGGTTACAACAAACACACTTATAATTACAGTGTAATTCATCCTTACAGCAAAGTGATTTTCATTCAGTATGATTTTAAAATATATTTTGAACTTATGGGTTATAACTACATGTAATAACATATTTATAACAAATCAAAATTGTTTGTCCCTTATAATTATGACCCAAGCTTAATACTTCCAGTAAAAAAAAAATCCCCAAATATGATGTCAGTGTGACTTCAATAAGGATAAGGCATAATTTTTCTTTATTAATCAAAACTATTATAAAGAATATTTATTTCATTTATCAAGAAAAAAAAACAGCAATGTGCATGAAAATTTTATCCATAGTTTTTATAAACCCTTGGTCTTCTATTGATGTCAGTGATCATGAGAAACCAAATAAGAGACACAATCTCTCTAATTAACGCAGGCATCCTTAGTCATAATTTAACTCCTATATACACATATGGTGGTTCAGGTTAAGTATGTTTGTGATTCTTTGTTGTTATTTCATTTTCTGACCAAACACCCTACTGTTTTAACAATAAATGACTGTAGCTAAAGATCACTTCAACAGCTGCAAGTTCTTAAAGTTATCTTTTACCATTAGTTATTTTTAAGCTAAATTTCATCAATATTAGAAATCTTTTCTTTATGATTTAATTTCATTACCATGATTACCATATTATATGAATAAAATAAAATTTAACACTTCTTTATTTTATTTTATGATGTCTTTATATTATTACTATGATCTATTTTCATTATAATTATTGCTGCCAAACATTTTCTATTTATTTTAATTATTATCATGTCCAGTAAACATGGTATATGTATGCAAACATATTTAGTTTGAACTATCACATGTGTACACTTAAAAAATATTCTGATTTGAAGTTCTTTCATTTTAATAATTTAATACTTTATTACTGAAATAATTACCAGGGACATTTAATACCGAATGTTTTTCTGTGGGTAAATATACACTAGGTGCCTGACTCCTCAGCTTCATCAACCTGTCAACATGGTCAACAGCTGATCACTGCAGCATGTTTACAATAGGTTTATTTTTAAACGTGAAAGAAACACATTTTCTAAACACAAGCTTTTATACAGACTATTACGTGCACGTTAACGTTCTAATATATAAAAAAAATCTTCTATACAACGTACATTGATCAGCTGTTTTGCTGGCTACAGACAGAATGGGGACTAGTTTTGACTTCCGTGTACATTCAATAGATTTATAAAATTTCTAACCTCATATAATGATATAAAATAGCTTTCATTGGTCTATCTATAAACAACCAACTTGTAAATGAATGCTATCATACCGTAAGTCTCTGACATTCTGTCACATTAGCACGGTGTCTGTTGTACAAACTACAAAGATTCATGAAAATTTTTAATGCGTTTCTCGCGAGACTTCTTGTTCAAATTATAATAGCTGAAACCAACACTGCGTCTTACAGAAATCCGCAAAAGTTTAAAGTTACGTTTTTTGGGGGGTGGGGGTGGGAGGTGGGGGGGGGGGTATTGTTACCGCGTCTGCCCATCCATACGTTGCTAATAGGGCAAATGGAATACTAGAAGTATACTAGCTGGTAACTTGGATTGATTTGGTTGCTTATTTATCACACGTATAGGCTACATTATATATTCATTGTAAACAATGGACATAAATTACCAAGTGCTAAATTCACTCAACATCATGGAGTATGCTTGCAAAACATGAAACTCCTTTAATGAAAAAATTCTATTTTTGATTTTCGTTTGAAGGTCAATATGTTTTATTCATTTTTCCTCACAAAGCCCGTGTCTGGAGAATTTTTTTTTCATATTTTGTTACTTGTGCCTTTAAATACCTTCTGGCTCCAATATTGGAAATAAATACATTACTTGAATACTTACTTACGAGAAGCAGACGTTTGAATAAATTTTTTTTTTTATTTTTCGTATGTTGTACCTTGAAAAATTAGTAATATTCATACATCAGAATGGTTATCTGCACACATGGGAATCATATTTCAAGTGATTTATTTCAAACGAACATGGGCTTATATGGCGAGAAAAATGCCGATACAGGTAATGAAAAAGGTGAAGATAACAAACAAGCACTTGATCGATTTCAAAACACACACACTACAAATCTGTGAACAGGACATAGAACACGAATCCCCGGCAATTCCAGAGGTGGGATCACGTGCCTAGGAGGTAAGGAGTAAGCACTCCCTGACGACTGGTCACACACACCCGCCATATAAGCCCTTTGTATTGATCAGGTAAACGGAATATTCCGTTGTCAAATTAAACAAAATAAAGACCTAATAGTTGGTATGAAATATGTCAGTCAAAATACGACCCAATGAAAATAACTATACTAAGAATCCCCCTCCCGCGTTCTCTACGGACCTGTAACGTCGAAGAACACAGAGTGCTACAAAATTGAGGTGATAGTTTTCCTCAGTAAAAATATGAACAAGAAGGTAAATTTTTTTTTATTATAGTGACATGTGCATATCAAATTTAAAATGATAAAAATTTACATTCGGCTAAACGGCCTATCTCACTCTAAAACAATGCACAGTACGGATTTTCACACTTTTCAAGTTTGAAGGCAAATATACTTTGAGAAGAACGTACTAGTTTTAGTGACCTCATATGGTGTATAAACAAACACATGTTGGCTCACTGCTATAATTGAATTCGAAGGACACCCAATAAATAATGGAGTTTCTCTGCAATTTTAATTTCCCGAAGTATTTTCCGTTAACCCTTATACACATGTCTCGATCAAGTCTCTGTACACAAATTCGGAACGCCCTCTGAATACTCTTCTTGAGGGATGCTCAGAAGACACACTGATGGATAATAACCAATTCTTGAATTGTAGCATCTTCCAGTGAGAATTTTCTTGAGTTTCGGGAATATAAAGAAGTCACAAAGACTTAGATTTGGGGGACACCTTTACATCTCTATGCTTCCTTGCAGCAATGTTGTCATGTGCAAGAAGACCTGCCCAGCTTTCTTTTATACATTTTAATACATATTATAACCAATGCAGGTGCTTTGATTTTAAACTAAAGCGCTGTGATTTTGCTTATGGTTGAATCAGTTAAATTTAATTGAAATGTGAAGATAGTGAACTGTGATCATGCTAAAAAGTCCATTTAAACAATAAAAATTGTGAGCGGAGTCAACACAAGCGGTGGGATCAGGTGCCATTGAGGAGTACGCGTCCCTTGCTATGATCGGGTAAACAGGAAAAAAATCGTAGACAATAATGACCTTGCAATTTGTATGAAAGACGTCAGTCAACACGGATGTATTTGCAAACAAGGTCACTGTATCGACCATAGAATTTGCGAAATGTTAACTTTAAGCGAAATTGTTGATATCATTGTGTCAACAACTTATTGGTCAATAGCCTGCCTCGTTTTAGAAATTGTCCGTACGTAGAACATGCTCTTGCGTATCGAATCTGTAGGCGATAATGGTAATAGTATATTGCTACATAAAAGAAGCTGACGATAGATAAGTTTAACATGTTTATCATTATGTTTAGTTGTTAGTTTGCCATCAATGTCTTTCTCTAGAAAAATATCCAAGTATGAAAGAGATGTTTCATACGTTGTGATGTCTCTTATAATTTCGAGTTCAATGGGATATATCGAATCGTAAAAATGAAAATGAATATTTTAATTGATAAAACGTCGTGGATATATCTATAAGCCGAATTGAATGTCACAGCAAGATAATTTTTTTTTCATGTAGGGTTTTGAATAATTCTGCTTCATTGGAATACAAAACAGGTCTGTTAATAAAGGGGCAAAATTAGTACCCATGGATATTCCAAAAGATCAAAGTGAAGTACTGCGGGTTTCAAATATGATATTCTTTCCGAGTATTTTATTCGATAATTGGACCTTCCAACTACTACCAGAGGTTAATCCAGATACTCGTTTAAACCCCCAAAAGCATTTTGTTGTTGTATAAATGATAATATAAAAATATGCTGAGTTCTAGAGTGAGCTCAACCATTATCAGAATATGCACAATACATTTAATAACATGTATAAATTAATGGCACTTGTGTATGAAAACTATAATCACATTAGTCTATGGCTTTGGGGGCATCGTTAAATCCTTGCGAGAGTTCTCTTATTATAAACTTTACAGTTTTCCGATAAATATTGTCCATATTTGCTGAATAACGGTCCCCTAATGTTTCCTTCACGGCAATCAAAAATGGTTCCTCTATTCTCTGAAAATAGAATTGCAAAAAGTAAATAACTTTAATGTACATTCTGCTTTTATTATATTTTTTTCAAAAAGTCTTCATTAATCAGCCAGTTCTTTTTGTCATGTTTACAACTGAGTGACAATCTCTATATTCAGGCTCGGTATATATGAAAGTTGACACTAGGCCAAAATAAAAAATACTTTTGTTTCCCCTAACGCGACCGACCCAATTCAATCCGGCCGACTGAAAAGTTTTTTTTTAAGAAGATAATTCAAAAAAAAAAAAAAAAAAAATTTAAGTTTATCAACTTTTATAAAATACAATTTCACCAAAACCCCTTCTTATCAGAAGATCGGAATGTATTTTTAAAACTGCTGCCAGGAAAAAAAAAATATTTACCTACCTACCCAACTTCAGAATTTAGAGTCGGGTTAGGGGAAACAAAGATATTTTTAATGATGGCCCTATATGTCATTTTTAAAGAGATCAAGGATCAAATAGAAACAATTGTCACCGCCCATATACATTCTGTTGGAAAAAAAATTAAAGTTTTTAATCTTAGAATTTTCACAAAATTTAGCTCTAGTTTATAAACTATTCAAGCCCCTATGATACAACACGTATTCAATTAAACATACACTGAAGATCATAAAGTTAAACTCCGGCAGTCGCCTATGAGACTTTCCCACTCCTCTCAACATCTCCATTACGTAGTCTGTGTCGCCCATAGAACATATGGCTTCGTCAAACGTATGCATCACTAATGTCACGTGGTTCAGGAAAATTTTGTTCTGCAGTAGGTCTGAAGATTCTTTGTAGTCGCCAAACTTAAAGAATTTACGTAAGTCGTCATTCTCTTGAAACATTCTGAAATGGAATTGATATTCTATATGGCATCTATATTCAGAGATAAGCCCATTTAATTTTTTTATTATCCCTGTTGCAATTTAGACGGTGACAATTATTTTATATTTATTGCCTGCATTAGATAGAAACGATATATGAATACTTAATTTTTGATCATGAATATTTGTAAGGCCATATTTGTAATTTTTTTTTACTTCTATGACATCATTATCCATCAAGCTCAAAAGAAGAATCAAATTTTGTTCTTCTCAGCTACGTTGAATTCAATAATTTTATCATTTGAATACAATAACCAAATTTTCCGACAAAGACCCCAAACCTCGCCATTTTTTGTGTAACTGAAACTAGCTTTGTAGGTAAAATTCGCCATTGTTCATGTCTGCCTTCTTCAGAGTAGGCTAATATCGTTTTTTTTTTTTCAAATACCGAAATCGTCGAAGGAATCTTCATAAATAAAAGCACAATTCAATGATAAATTCAAGCTTCTTGTTAATTAGCTGTTAATGTTAGTAAAAGATGACCCCCATTTTCTGCCTAGGGATCATTCTTCTGTTGACTCATATTCAATAAAATTTTGCTTTCAGAGCTTAAGATTTTCAAAAAATAAATTATTATCTAATTTACAATTAAAAGTCACATTATATCAGCATACATTGCGGGTTAATATTTGACACAAAAGAACTTTTAACTTGAAAATTTTATAAAGAAATTATAGTCATTCACTCCAGTGAAAGATAATGAGCCTTAAGCCAATCCGAGAACAACACTTGTGTTTTTATTTCAGGCGAAAAATAAAAAAGTAAAACAATTTGAACCTGACTGAAAATGTACTAGTATTTACTTTAGGATATTCAAAATTTATCACAGATATAAACCAGGGATTAGTCTGTGCTATTATCAAGTTAGCGGTGTCGCTTTTTCTTTGTATCACTCGTGTATATATGAATATACTGTTTAAGAATCATATTTTAACGGATATTTATAAATGATTATTACTGACTTTTTTTAAGTCATGTAATGGTTGACAAGATAAGACCTCGACCCTTGCTTCTGAATCAGGTCTCTTGCGCAATGTGGGCCTCACTCATTCTAAAGAACGACCAATGACCGTATATTTTTACACCGCTAATAAGTCCTTGATTTAAATAAACTAAAGACTTATGTATTTGTTACCGAAGAAACATTGTAACCCCTGTAGAGTGTAAATCTCTGGCAATCGCCTTCCATGACTTGATGATCTGGTATTTGTCCCGTGTTGTAAGAGAACACCTAGTATCCATGACAGAAACACTCCTGATCCACTTCCGCTGCGGAGACCGCCTGACGCACGGGTTTGTTGAGTTGGAAATCTTGTTCCGGATTTCAAGAGGCACTTTTTTCTCTATAGGTGTTGATGGTTGACGTATCAAATAGACATCGGGGTCAAAAGGTGACGGACATTTGTCAGTTTTGATAGATAGTGTGCATCCCATGCCTGTCTTGTCTGTAAAAAAAGAAATCCAAGTCAGCTGATGTAGAATGATACCGTTATTTTACTAATATCATATTTCTGCGTATAAAATTAAAATCATAAGAGCTATGTACTCTATGAATTAGCACATAATGTCGTTTAGTAGTGTAGCATTTCGGGACAAATGAAAAGTATTTGAGAAGGTTGTTAATGCATGCATGGTGATTTAGGCAGGAGGACCCCACTTTACAAAAGAGCTAACGAATAAAACCATACGATAATTTTGTCCTTTCCACTAGTCTAAATAGTTATGTAATCCAAAATTATAAGAATTTGAAAGATATCCCTAGACAGCGTATTAGGTAGCTAATATGTAAGAAACAGCTCAAACTGTCGGTCTTAGTCGTTTAAGTTCTTTTGCAAAACAGGCCCAAACTTACCGCTTTTCTCAGTAATTATTTCTAACATTCACGAATTGATAATTATACAGAAGTATTAAAATCAATTTCCTAGCTCTGTAATACAGATTCAAACACACAAACAAGGTTGTAACATTTTAAGTTCTTAGACAGGGAAATACATTCGGCATACAAATGTTTCTTCTTAGCCAAAGTTACAGTGATTCAAATAATTTCCATATTTCATATTTCGAATTTCATTAACCATGATATCACATTGTCAGAATGCAAAACAACGGATATAACTCTAAAAAGTTACCAGCTTGCTGAGAAAACATGCAAAAATCAAAATAATAATTATATGAAATTCTTAAAGGTTATTTTTCCTATTAAATAAATGCATTAATTTCACGGCATGCATAGAGATTTGAATAAATTTCTAGTCTACACAGGAAATTGTAGCTAAATGTTTAGAATGGGAAAAGAACAGGCACACATCAAAAACAATGTCTTACTTTATGGTTCTTCCTCCAGTCTTGTCTGCGAGTTCTTTCATGACTTTCTAACATTATAATTTTTTTCTGTTGTTACCATAGAGACGAAGCAGGCCGTTTATTATTATTTTTATAGCTACGTGAATAATGAGGTGAAAATTGTCATTCTATTCTACGATAATTTGTTGAATAAATGTTCTTTATAACAGAATACAAACATTCCTGTAAATCCGAGATAATATCTCTGAAAGCCTATGTTCTCTTGTGGGAGGTAAAACATGCTGCAATTTAGACGACTTTGTTTAATGTACGTCATGCATACATGTATTTGTAAAATAAAATTTTAAGAACAGGCATATACAGGTATAAGTAACTGTCTAAAAAAGAAATTTATCTAAACGGTGAAACAGATGAGATATACATTTATAATTAAAACATAAGAAACTAATAGGACGATTACTAGTATGTGTGAAAATAACTAGCGCCGGTATTTTTTTGGGGGAAGGGGTGTTAATGTGGGGTGCATTTGAAAACTGATACTAGTATTTCATAGTATTGATTTCTTTGGAAAACCCAGTATATTATCAAAAGATTGGTTAAGACAATCTTCATGAAACTTAAAAACAGGATAATCACAACGTCTTGTGCATTTAATAAAATTTTCTAAATGGCGACCATTTACATGGAAACAACAAGCTATGGCAATTTTAAATAAATCTCACTTTTCTCATTAACTGCCAAGCTAATCTTTCTGAAAGGATTATTTCTTGCATCATGTCCAAAAAATTCTTCATTTCAGTGTAAATTCGTTATTTTCAGTAAATATAGAAACATGTATAAATATTGCCATAAAGGTGCGTAAACAAAGGAGATGGGTGAACAAGGCGTGCAGAATGCCCATATCTTCAGATATGTAAAAAATCAAATTCAGTATATGAAATTAGTATTTAGGGTAAAGTTTTCTATATTGAAATTAATGAAATTATGATAAAATTATGATAAGCAAAACTTTTCTGAGGAAAATTTCCCCGGCAAAATTTATTCTGTTATCAAAAATAATGTGGTATTCGTTGGGATCGAACCCCCTAGCAATAAAAATCCTCAGCATCCTTTTTCCTTTGAGAAGACCAAAGCGCTAACCACTACGCTACACAGCTCCTGATGAATAGTGGCATTTAAATTATGTTTGCGATATGACCCTTGACTAAATGGACTTCAAGTATTTCTCAGAAAATGGGAATGTTGTGTCATAAAAGTGTATTTTTAAGGTATATAGTGCTCCATGTTTTTGTTTACCAAAAAATGTATAGTTTTAGGCAAACTTTGATGATAACCTTTCAAAAAAATGGAGCGAAGACCCACTCATATCAAAAAAGTGTGTTATAGTACGAGAAAATGATCCTTTTTGTCATCTTTAGTGTGTGTTTGCTATTTCATAGGCAAATAATTTCAAACTTCGTGGGATTTTTGCAAATTGTGGAAATTTTACATAAAGTATACTTTAATGTTAGATGAAATCTCAAAGAAAAAATTGTTATTGTTGAGATTTAATTTTTCACCTTCATGTTTGTTGCATTATAGGCACTTCGCTCGCCTTGTTCGCCCATCTTCTTCGACGTACTAATACGGATATTGAGTATAAGTCCCCGGGACTTTAGTATATGCATGTAAACCAGTTTTACTGTTATTTGCTTTTAAACAAAATTTGGTGAATTTCATGATCTTTTCTTTTTTTCTACGAAGTTGAAATATATCTTTCGATGAATTCCGAACAGCTCTTGAAGAATGCACATTTTCGGTGTATAGGCGACCTGGAAGTACATGATAATTCTTGCATAAGCGGCTACTCAGTCTGTGTGAATTATCATGTTCTCCCTGATCGATTATCACCTCATACACATACACAAATACCTTCTTTCTTAATAAGGACTATATAGAATAAAATACAGCATAAGTAACTTAATTTCTGTGAAATTTTGATTTAACTTTTCAATGTTAATATTTCGAACAAGAAATAGAATAATATTGTTACTACATACAGCATTTAATCTGTAAACTTCTATGCTGAATAATTAGACTTCAATGGATTAATGCGTTATGACGATGTATTGCATATGGAGTAAAGGAGCAGTAATCAAGCTCAAAAGTACATGGAAACAATACAAATCGGGAGCAGAGCAAATACAGACCTCTAAAAACATCACAGGTGGAATTAGGTGCCATGGAGGAGTAAACACCCCCTGTCGAACGATCACACCCGCCGTGTGCTCCTGGTCATGATTGGGCAAACGGAAAAATCTGTAGACAGTTCAGTGTGTAAATAATGGCCTAACAATTAAAATATGAAAAACGTCAGTCAGCAACCCACTTATTAATAGATTGCACTAACTGACAATGGAACTTGCAAAATGTTGACTTTAAACGCGGCTGTTGATATCCTTGTTTCATCAACTTGTTTGTCAGTAGTTTGCCTCGTTTTTGAAATTGTTCGTAGGAAGAGCATGCTCTTGCATATCGAATCAACTGGTAGACGTAAACTCCATATGCAGCTGATTAGGGTATATTGCAACATAAATGAGGGAAGATGACGATAGAAAAGTTGAAGTCATCACGTTTATCATAAAGTTTTGTTGTTAGGTTACCAATTACGTCTTTCTCTAGTAAAATATCCAAACATGAAACAGACGTGTCAGACTCTCTGGTATTTTTTATTTCAAGTTCACTGGGATATATCGAGTCGATATATAAATGGAAGTAACTATTGTTAATTGATAATACGTCGTCAATATATCTAAATGCCGAGTTGAAGGCCATAGCAAGTGTTTTCTTCTTCTCATGTATGTTTCTGAATAACGGGGCGCAATTGGTACCCAAGGAAATTTCGACAGATTGTTGAAAGACTTGATTTCCAAAAACTATACAAAGATATTGTCAATCAGAAACTCAAGCATCTTTTTAATGTCAACTTAAGAGTACTTGTGTGTACAACCAGAATGTTTTTTATCGAAACAATTTCGCAAATGACCAGTGACAAGGAAAGTAAATTGACGAGTTCCATTTTTATAGAAAAAGCTGCTGTCTATGATGTCGAAAAGCCTGGACTTTAATTTATCGTTGGGAATGTATAAAGTGTTGAAAAGTCAGATTATATATTAGGGGTAATGGGGTAATGTATTGGTAAATCTGGTTTGTGAAAAAGTTGCAACATATATCTTCTCTCCCCCCCCCCCTCCTCCCATAAAGTAGGATTTTTGACTTCAGACAGTTTACTTTTTTGTCCATTTTTTTTCAGGTAGGTTGTCAATTTTTTTTACGTAGCAGCCCCCCCCCCCTTTCAAAACGATACTACGTGCTTGTTATGGGACATATTTCTTGCAATTGCAATTTTAAGATACATTTATGTGTCTTTGATTTTCTTTAAGACAAAACTGTTTTTTTTTTCAAATACATTAATGCTTGATCTTGTGAATTATTTTATATCAAAGTTACATCAATAACTGAATATTTTCTCTAAATTTCTAACGAAAAACAATTGCCGTTTATCTGAAGCATTTCTAAAGTAGCTAGATGATTTTTTTTTTTACGCCATCTGTACGAACAATTTTTGTCAAAGCGCAACTGTTATATATCTATCATCAATGAACCGTACCGTGCAATAATAAAATATCAAATCGACTTTATACTTTAACTTTTACACTGTTACAAATGAATTTCTGCAAAGTGACAAATTAAGCATAATGTTTTTAAATCAAGAAAATGAATTAACAATATGTACATGTGTATTAATATGAAATGTCTCCTTTTATCAATTTTTATTTATCTATTTATCAAATCTTTATTTATAGGTTTATTTTGATAATTTTCGAAAAATTGTCGACATATTAAAAAAAAATCATGATACAAAACTCGTTATATTTTAAACCATCTTTAAACCATCTTTTTAATAATGAAAAACGAAAAGTGGGGGTATATAAAAATGCTGATATGGATCAACTGAATTCCCTTTTTGAAAATACTGATTGGGAAACTCTCATTTGTAATGTACAAGATGTTAACCAGGCTACATGAAAAGGCCAAAAGACAAACCCCGACTTGGTTCTGCATTACGTAAGACTCTTTGTATTTAAAAAAACAAAA